TCTTGAAGTTAGATTTTTATTGAATTTTTGATAAAAATTCTTAAGATGATGGATTTTAGTAATTTTTTTTAATATATAGATCATTGAAAGATTGAGAATATATACATCTTTGGAAAGTTTATAGTATAAACTATTAAAATTAAAAAATTCAAAATTTCTTGAAAAAGTTTGTACTATAATTTTTAGGATTAAAAGTAAAAAATTCATCACAAAAGTACTAAATTTAAACTTTGATGAAGAATTAAAAAACTGTTCCAATTTTTACCTTTTCCGTATTTTGATATTTTGTAGTCTATAGTGTCTACTAACTACCCTGAGAAGTGTAGCTGCGATTATACGCGATCTTGAGCGCTAAATAATTTTGAAAAACTGATGGTTTTTTAAACAAATAAAAAACTTCTTTGAATAAAAACAATTTTTTTCATTCATTACTAAAAGTAAAATAAAATATAGCAAAAACATTTGCTCAAAAATATAATCTTTTTTGTAGTAAAAAGTAGAAAGTAAACTTTTTAATTTAAATTTAATAGTTCAGTAAACTAAAGATTGACAGGTCTGCACAAGGTTTATATAGAAACATACCTGTCACCCTTTAGTTTACTGAACTATTAAATTTAAATAAAAAAGTTTATTTTCTACTTTTTAGTACAAAAAAGATCATATTATTGCTATATTTTATTTTCTACTTTTTAGTCTTTACAGATAATTACGATATTTAGCAATGCGTTTGTCAAGACATTCATAATTAAATCAAGCTTTTTATCCTTAATAAAGAAACGGAGTATTTCCTGATTAAAGGAGCGGAATGTTTTTTTTTAAAGGACAAAATTTTTTTTATATAAAAGTAAAATAACATAAAGTACAAATATTTACTTACATTGCCACCCTCGTCCTCCCACATATGTAGTATATTTTATATTAATATTCAACAAAATTATGTTTAAGTTATTTTTTCAATTTTATTAAAAAGAAACATTTAAAAAAAAAAAAATGTAAAAAAGATTGAAAAAAATAAATACAAATCCACAAGCAATCTCAGGCGATTTTAAAAATGAAAGATTAATGAAAATTGCTTTTAAAAACAAACTCGCAAGCAATTTAGAGCTAAATTTGATATAAAAGTTTTTAGCGTCATCGAGGACAAAGTTACTTAAAAAATCTTCTTTCTCCCAAACTCACCTTAATATTAATATCACTTTAATTATAATATCAAATCACCTTAATTATAATATCTTCTTTCTCCCAAACTCAACTTACTCGCCTCCGTAAAGCGGGTTATGACGCTCCTGAAGGGGTTGAATTAGTCTTTTCGGACCTAGGTATTGTAGCCTCTATAAGGCAATTAGCTGGAGGAGGATAAACCACAATACCAGTTCATATCAGGTGAACTCCAATAGAGACTTTGACGGCGTACATTAGTTAGATGACTTAACTAACTATTGTAATTTGACCTAACTAAGTATTGCACCTTCTAACATCGTGTGCAATCCTATCCGCTTTCTCTATTCTATCTTTCTAACTCGACAACTTCTGTCTTTGACTCTAACATATCTTCGTTCTGCCTTACTCTCGTTCCATAGAGCGGGTTTTAGAAGCTGAATTTGTTTTTGAAGCCTTGGTAATGTGGTCTCTGTATGGCAATTAGCCGGAGGAGGATAAACCACAATACCAGTTCATATCAAGTGTAAGAAAAGATTATAAAATAAATAAATAATGTAAGGCATGAAAGAATAAAGTAAATTTGTTTTCGTGTTGTTAGTGAAAGGAAAAAGTCATTTTTTATTTTAATTTCTTGTGTTTATGGTTTTAAAATTCATAATTAATTTAAGAATTTTTTTTTAATGTCTCACTAATGGACCAAAGACCACATGAATTTCTAATTGTTGTTAAAAAGTTTCTTTTTACTTTGTAAGTTTTTTATTGTGAACTAAGATAATGGAGGAAACCAATTTAATACAAATTGTGCAATGTTGTTAGGTTTCGAAAAATACTTTTGAAAATGTAAATTGTGGGTTTAAATACATTATTACTAGGATTCAAGTCAAGAAGGAGACAAAATAAACTTATTAAGAAAGAGATTAAAACTCGCAAAGTACGTTACACATGCATTATATCAAAAGTATGTTACACTATGACATGCATTATATCAAAAGTATGTTACACTATGACATGCATTATATCAAAAGTATGTTACACTATGACATGCATTATATCAAAAAAAAGAAACTTTTGATAGTAGAAATCAGGTTTGGTTTAATTCAATTTTTAAAATAATTGATTTAGTTGAACCACCGGATAATCAAGAGGTTTTAATAAATCAATAAGATAAATGAGGTCGACCAACTAAAGAGCTTGAAGAATCGAATTCTCCCACCAAAAAACGATTAATAGCAAATATATCAATTGACTCAAAAACGGAACCTGTCTAAAAAATATTGTTAGTGGCACAAACAACAGCATCTAATAAACGTGACTTTACTTTAGTCAAATTACTTAATGTCGTTACAAAGAAAGCGACACGAATATTTAATGCTTTACACTCAGCTAACCACATGGCAAGAGAAAATAACATCTCATTTTCTCTTGCCATGTGAGAAAATGAGACGTCATTTTCTCTTGCCATGTGAAAAAAAGGCATTTGGATAACTTTATTTCTTGGATAACAAACTTTCAAGAAGTGTTTATAAAAATACTCATAAAGAAGCACCATTCAGATTTCCATCTTATCAAGTAGTTTCCGAAAAAAAACGAGTGCTCACCTTTAAAAACATCCATTGAAGTTACTGAAACAAAGACCTAAGTTAAACTACAGGATCTTATGGATCAAACATCCAAGAGGCTTGTGAAACTACAGGAAAAGAAAATTTAAAAACATTTGGTTGATAAAAATAAAGAATTAATACTAATTAGTAGTTGGGGTATGGACGAAAATATCATCAAGGTTTTAATAATAACCAGTTATGCTGGAGTATAGAAAGGAAAATAAAGAAGAGGTATTAAAAATTAAGGAGGAAATTGAAAAAAAAATTCTTAATTTATATCCTGTTAAAGTTACCTTCCAGGACATAAGTATGTTTTTATGAACTATCGCTTTGTCTTTTCAATGATTGATTGGAAAATCATTAGTTTATATCAAAAACACTTCTTCGACACAATGCTGTTCGATTTGTCACGCCACACCTGTCATGATGAGCGATCTAAAAATCTTTAAGGAAGGGTTTTTTTTACAGATGGGCAGACATTGTACTTTGGCATTTCACCACAACATGCTTGGATTAGGTTTTTTTGAATTTATTTCACATATTTCATATAGAGTTGAAATAAAAACTTGAAAAATAAAAAAGGTTTTGAAAGATCAATATTTATTGAGGAAAAAAAATTAGTCATGATAGAATGTTTGAAGAATTTGGTTTGAGAATTGATGAGCCAAGAGATGGCGGATCAGGAACTAGTAATACCGGAAATTCATGCCGATGAGCTTTTTCTGACCCTCTATTACTCAGCCAAATTTTAGAAATTGACGAAGAAAATTATCAGATTACATAGCATTCTTATTGCAATCAATTGCAAAGACCCAATTGATCCGGATAAAAAAAAATGCAATGATACATATAAGAAGTTTTTAGAGATATATGATTGGTTCAAGGCCTCAGCTTCCGTTTAAAAAATATTAGCACATGTTGGGGAAATTATTATTAATTCACCAGTTCTACTTGATTTTATGGGAAAGGAAGCAGTTGAATTTCGACACAAAATTTTTAAACTTGATCGTGAACATCATATAAGAAAAAAAAGTAAAGAAACAAATTTATTTCACATTTTTATTCGAGGTATACATACTTCTCTGATCTCCTAATTAGTTCTATCTCATTAACTAAAAAATTGAAAAGTAAGAAAATATTGTGAAAAAAGTGAAAAATTTGTTAGCAGTTTATAGCGATAAAAATAATGACTTAAATAAACTATATTTAAATGTTGACCAAGTTGACAAAAACCTAGAATTACAGGTGTAGTAGAATAAAATTTTTAACTGTATTCTTTGCATAATGTATAACTTTTATTTGTTTGCTTAATATATAAATTTATTAAGTATATAAAAATATTAAATAAAATATTTAAAAAATTGCAGTGATTTGGTTCAAATCATTGGAGTTTGGAAAAAAGAATATCCCAAAGGTTTATTTATTATGTTTTTTTACTATTAGTTGAGAATTAAAACAACAAACTTTAATTCTCACTTAATAATTTGTTAAAGTTCGAAAGATATAACTTTAATAACTGTAAAGTTTTTACAAAATGAGGGGGTTGTAAACTATATATGATTATAACTTTCAGAAAATAAAAGATTATTAGATGAAAGTTAAATGAATGTTAATGAATTTTAATAATTGATAGCAGCATAATTATTTTATTGGACTTCTTGCCCTCATTTTTATTTTAGGGGGGAGAGGGCTAAATATTTGGGGTATTTTTGATCCCAGGCTTCAATTACCGCACTTTATTTTTGCAAAATATTATATTTTGACTTGAACATAACAAGTTTGAAGCATTGGAAAATCTTTTATTATTTATGTCCAAAAGTATCACATATAAAAAATACAAATGGAGGCTCCAGTGCTCAAGAGCGCCTGAGCTGATTAAAAACAAAAATAAAAAATGTTTATTTTGCTCAATTAAGGCTCAATACCCACATAAATACAACGATTAAATTTTTGGCCACCTATTTCACTGGAATGTTTCCACTATTCTATGGCTTTAGTTTTAAATTGTCTTCTTAAAACCAGCATTCATTTCACTTGCCATTTCTTTAAAATATAAAAATTTAAAAAATCATTTATTTGTCTTACTATTTCTTTAAAACATTGCTATTTGAATCGTTTTTAGTCAAGTTTTGAATAATTTAAGGCGTTAATTTATTTTAGTCAAGTTTTAAATAAATTAAGGCATTAATTAAGGAAAAGATTTATACTAATTTTTGGATTCTAATAATCTCTAAAAAATTGATTAATACATTTATTACAAAGAAATATACAAGAAATTACAGGTAAAATTTCAAAACATAATTTTCTCCTTTTTCCTTTTTGTTACACCTTTACACCTAAAGGTATTTACAATCCCCCTCCTTCCTTTTGTTTTTGTTGACTTTCATACCATGTCTTTTTAATCATTCTTTTCATATCGTCATCCCCCTCATCATACATTTTCTTCATCAAATTCATGATGCCAGCCTGAGGGTCACTTGAATCCATATCTTTTGAATTCAGCTTAGAATCTCTAAAAATTAAAATTGTATAAAAATTGAAAGGACCTAAACTATGAACACCTTAAGTTGTATTTTTAAGAAATATACCTAATAACTTTTAAAAGTAATATTTTATATAAAACCAGGCGATTACTTTATTTGTTGTTCAAATTATACTTAAGCTTTTTTTTATTTGTTGTACTAATTACTTTTTTTGTTGGTATGTTATTATAAGCAAAATGTTGGGAAAAAAGAGCAATATGCAAATGATTGCAAATTCCGGAATTAAATTATTTAAATTCTCTTTTGTAATCATGCTAGGAAACATCAGATAGGAAACTTTATCTTTATGTTAGCAATACTAGATTGCTAACATAAAGATAAAGTTTCCTATCTGTTTGCATTAAAACAACAAAAAAGGTAACCGTCAAGTAGTTTACATAAATTTTGCGTGAAAAAAGTACTGCTTGATCGGGGTCCATAACTTCTATGACGTAGTATCAAGATTTGATAATACCACATAGGAGGAATTAGTGGTCAAATACAGAGATTAGTATGGACGTCTTAGTGAATAGCATATAATTAACTTCCTTAGATTTTTGCTAAAGAAGTAAAAAATATGAAAACCGAGTTAAGTTAATTATATGAACTATGTGTTTCTTAACTTCTTGCTAACACATTTCAAAATAACATACTTCATTTAATTAACTAAACTCGGTTTTCATATTTTTAACTTCTTTAGTAAAGAAACTAAGGAAGTTAAATATCACAGGTACTACAAATAAACTTATTTAATAATAAAGAGTTTATGGTTCTGCAAAAATGAACTACTCAAAAGATTAATATAAAAGGAAATAAGAGAATACGGGGAAGCAGATAATAAATAACAAAATGAATACTGGTTAACACCCTTGATTCGTAAACAAATAAGGAATTTAATTAAAGGGTAAAGCAAAAAAATTCATTTACCTTTATAATTAACAAAAAAAATGTTTTACATTATTATTTTACTTAAGATGAGATAATGATAATTAAGATATGTATATTGACTTTAATGTACCTTGTTAAACCTACATAAGAAGTTCTTTATTCTGAATTTAAGTTTGTTTATAATTATACTTTTGACTTTAATTTTTAAAGATATGAAAATTTAGTCTTTGCAGAAATTTTTTTGTAAACGTTATGAAAGTTTAAACATTTGTTGTGATTGTTTAGAGTTTTATATTTTAAAATAAAATACAAAATGCTATACCTGTTATGCAAAGAAAACTCAAAACAAGACCTGCAATATGTCTAACAATCATGTAATTTATTTCAATGATTAGGATAAAAGCTGCTTTTTCAATTTTTAACTCAATTTTGTTTTACTTTTTTTTTATCTAAACCTTCCTATTAAAAATTATTAAGATTAGAGTTGCTCAGATGTATTATTATTATATCAAAAGTAACCCTATGCTTCACAAAAGTAACCCTATGCTTCACAAAAATTCTTTGCAGAGTATAGATCATATAATGCCATCATTAAGTTGGAGACATTTGGTAACGCCCACCTAAAACAACTATCATTGAATCAAAACTTTGCAAGCCTTGCAGCAAGCTAAGCACATGATTTTTTTTCCAAAAAGAAATTCTTCGAATTTTGAGAACTGTTATCATATTTTAAATATTGATTTACTGATACGATTGTAACTATAATATGAATGGTATCAAGACATCATTAAAGTCTTCAAATACTGAGGGTTCTGACCACAGCACAATATAAAAGTGTTGTGGTCGGATGTCACAATGAAATATAGCTTACATATAAAACTGTTTTCACTTACTTAGCTTCTTTTTCTTTTCTTTCTACAGCTGTAACGTTACCCCAGGTACGACCTTCCTTATCTTTTTTCATTGATATGACAACATTGCCACTTTTTATCTATTATAAATTAGAAAATGAAATACACAATTATTAGTAAAATATGACTTAGTAATATAAAAATAATTAGTTATAAAAAATCATTTAAAACTTTGTGACAAAAAACAAAAGGTTTTAAATGGCTTTCTGATAGAGATTCTGTATAATAACCATTTTTATCTTTACAGAACCATTTCTTTGTGATAACTGAAATCAGAAAAATTAATTACAAGTAAAAACTTAAAATATATTTGTAACTATTTTATTGTCATTATTTTAAAATCATATAAACTTATAAATTTCAAACTTTTACTTAAACTTTTAACCACAATCATTAGAAGTTTTTTATAGTTCTTAAAAAATAAGCTAGTTAAAAAATAAGCTAGTTAAAAAATAAGTTAAGAAATTAATTTTCGATAAACTTTACATTCAAATATTGCACAACAAAAACATATTCAAATTAAATTTTAAACCAAACTTTTTGGACAATTTGCAATCTACCATTTGCGAGAACGATTCACAAAATATAGAAATAAAACAAAATGTTCCATTCCAGAATTAGTAAAATTCTCAAACAAAAAAATTCTAAAATAAACAAATGTAAAAAAAGTTTGAAAAATTTGATATAAATTTAAAGTTTCATATTGAATTTTAACTCAGAGAAGAGTACCCAAGATTCAGCCAGATATTTTTTGTCTGGTAACCAGACTCAGATACTCAGCCAGATATTTTTTGTCTGTTAACCAAACTCAGATATTCAGTTAAAAGCAGATGCAGCATATCTTTTATTTTAAAATTTCGTATTTTTTAATGTTACATTCTATTTCAATTAAAATATGAATATGAATACATTTCGTTAGAAATCAATGTTATTACTATTTACTACAATTATCATAACATTTAACTTACTCTCTACTATCTATTATATAAACTATCCAACTTTTCACGATTTTACTTTTTAACTTCATTGTTTTATAAATAAAAGAAAAGAATAAAAAAACATCTCACCTTACAGGTTGATTCTTTGGGAACAATTGAATATGCTAAGCCAACGATTTGCAAAAGATGATTTTTATTTAAATGATTTTGTGCAATAAACTTTACAGAAGTTGATGTAAATTCACATGAAATTTGATCTTCTCTCAAGTTTTCTATTTGTGGAATAGTCACATAGAGCCTCACAAACTTCGAAGATTCATCCCAACCTAGTAAAAGTTTCAAAAAAAATGTACAATTTACATGACTGCTTTATTTAGAAACTCATTTGTTTACACGTGAGTCATGGATGCTTGGAAACAGAATCCAGCAAAATAAATAAATATCTTAAGTAGAAAAAAAAGTAGATTAATGCTGCCAAAAAGATGATGGTAAACTCAGTAAATAAAAAACATCAACAACAATAATATAAGAACTAAACACTATTTATGATTATGATTTTAAACATAATCATAAATAGTTTTAAACAGAAGAACTTAAAAACATGGTGTTACAAAAATATAATTCTCAAAGACCCAATCAGGAATAAAAAAAATAGAATACTAAAGTCAAAAGGGTAAATGGGAATTTTAATATTTGTTTTACCTTTTTATTTAAACTAATTTATTCACAATTTAAATAAAATATTCTTATTTTCGCTTTTATTTTAAATATTTGAATTTAAATAATATTGAATTGTTTAGCAGTTAGGTCGGCATTGCTAAATAATTGCTGACCCTAACTTGAGGGCTGCAGCATGTAATTTAGTGCTAACTAACTTGAGGGCTGCAGCATGTAACTTAGTGTTTACTAATTAGCCTTACATTGCAATATAAAATAAACTGGTTTCTATCAGCACTGACATTATTGCTTAAAAATGTAATTTTTTTTTTTTTGATATAAAAAACCAAGCAAATGAATTAGTACTAGAAAGTTTCTTATTATAAGACCTTTATTTTCCCAACTTAGTACTAAAAGTTTCTTAAGAGTTTCGTATGTTTGTTAAAATAATATACATATTTCAAATGGAATTACATTCAATTGCGAATGCAAATTAAAATGTCATTTAAAAAGTCATTCTTCATTGTAAAATTGCCTTTTAACTTAGTGTTAGGTTGATGTCATATGAAGTTAAAAAATTAGGAAACATTAAACTCATAATAAAATAAGTTTCTTATTAAAAAGTAACTAAGTACTAAAAAATTCTAAATTTTCATCTTTTTACGATGTTAGGTAACTGAACAATAAGTAATTCAGGAATTATAAACATTTAATTAAAATTTAAGATAACTAATATATAAAGTTTTATTTTAGAAAAATTTGCCAGACCAGTTTTTATTTTAGAAATAGACCAGTTTTTATTTTAGAAAAATTTGCCAGACCAGACCAGTCAAGACTAGAATTTTTTTAAGTGTTTATTTTTTGCTTTGAAAAACATACACATGACCTTAAAAATTAAACAAAAAAATTATACTAGAGATATTGAAAGGTATTTACATTCTTACAAAACATTTAAAAGCACAAAATAGATTCTTTTTTCCTTTCATTATTCAAAATAACTTTCATGTACTTGATAAACTCGCCTTGATAACAGTTTTTTTAAATAACTTCTTACAAATAAATAAAATAAATAACTTGAAATTTTGATTAAAAATACTTTAATTAGACAGCAATTTTTTTTATTTAGGGGAACTACAACTCTATTTAAACAATATAATTTTATTTTAATAATTAATAATAAAGATAATTTTTAAGATAGATTTAATTGTAATACCTTTTAGAAAAAATGTCTTTTATTAATATAATTTAATTTTGCAAATATTTTGACCACATAAAAAGTTTTTAATGTATTCTACAACTTAAGGTAAGACATTGTTTCAATTCTGTGGTTAAATAATCAGGTCAGTCAGTGACACAATTAATAATTAAATTTAAAATCAACAATTGTATGAGACTGCTCCTAGTTAATGCTTGAATTTATTATGCAAAATACTAATATAATGGGGCTCAAAGTGTAACTATGGCAAGTCAATTTCAGACAAAACTTTTTTAAATACTTAACTAGAAGAAGCCAAAACTTGGTATTGGTGTAGTGAAAACTTAGTATGCATAATGTACAAAGCTCAAAATTCAAAACACTCTAACTAGACTCCCTGTGCCATGCTTAACTTGTTTTTTTAAAAGGGTGAGCAAGGGGTGGATTCTCATAACAAACATCCATATGAATTTTTCTTAACTTTAAATATTCTATATATGATACTAATAATCACCTTTTTAAAGAAATTTTAGTTTTATACCATTATAAACATAGAAATATAGAGTTATTCAAAGAACCCAAAAAAATCATAATATACAGACCAAAAACATCACCAAGAAAGTGTTATTTTGCCAAAGCCGAAAAAAATCTCTTAAAAAAAAGGTGCTTATTTTATGTTATTTAGTCACTCTATGGATATTTTTGTTCAACTATTTGTATAAACTAAAAATAAAAATAATTTTGAAAGTTTGATATATGCACAAGGCTCGAAGTGATCGTGAATAGCGATATCTGGAAATACTTCTGGTCTTTAAACTTTTAGTTTTTTAAAAACCATAAACTCTGTATTTATCACTAAACTCAATAGTTGTTTTTCAATAAAATTATATATTGATCTTAAAATTATGATATATATAATCTCATTATTATCATTTTTATTATTATTAAAAGTTATGATTTAAACTTTAATACTTTAGTTTGTTTGATAAATAACCAGATAAAACTAGAAAAATAATGCATTGTATGATGTAATATTAAAAACTACTGCAAATCAGTCTAAAGGTATTTAGCAGTGATCAAATATAATAAATAAGAACAATCGCAAAATAAGATACTTTTATATCTTACTTAAACCTTATTCAACATTTTCTTATAAATCAATAAATTGACCAATCTTGATCATAAAAAAAAGACAGCAGAGTTTAAAAAACATTTAAAAACTAATTTATAGTTATTTTACAACAAAATAAAAAAACTTGTCTTAAAATATATATTATTATTTTTATTATTAATTAATTTAATTCAAATTTCAAAATATTTAAATTTTTAAATAATTTTGAAATTAGAATTAAATATTGTTATACTTTTTATATAAAATTATAACAAATATTTTTATTATAAAAAAAACTCATTGTTATATTTTTTCATCAACTTTTGCAATATGATTGACTGTTTTATCAAAACAGTGTTTAAGGTTTTTAATAAACTGATAATTGAGGACTAGGAATATTTCCAGATATCGCAATTCACAATCAATTTTTTTATTTTAATTAACTTTACCAAAGGTATGAAGGTTAGATTAGTCTAGGAGGTTGCATTTAGTTGTAGTTACAACTAAAAGCAACTTATTAACTCCAAACGCAAACTTTGACAAATATGGCCTCTGTGTGGAGAAACAAGCTGAGCGCAGTACTGCCAGGGATGTGGTGGGGATCAAACTCAGAACAAGTTCAATCCCCACTACAAACTTAATTTTTGATAATGAAAATATTATGAACCTGATTAAAATTATTTTTTTATTGCAAGTCTTCCCAGGAAATGTCCACGCATGAGTATTTTATTTAAGACCACTTGTGAACAAGTGGTTTGTTATATTAGGCGTTGCAGAAAAAACTTTCAAAAGTTTTCAAAAGCAAAGAAAGCAAAACTAACAAAGTAGGAAATTAAAATAAATTTAAAAAAAAAAATTAATAATATAAATAATTTGTGAACTGTTTTAATTTGTTTCTTTAGGGAGGTTGTTATTTTTAGCAACAAAATTAGGCAATGCAAAAAAAAAAAAAAAAATATTAATAATAAATAAAAAAAAAAAAAAAAAAAAAAAGCAATTTAAAGTCAACATTAAAGCATAATATTTTATTTGTCTTTTTAAAAAGGAAAGCAAAAATATAAATTGCTATCTGTTTGTAAAATATATTAGTATAATTTTAATGTAACAAGTATATATTGTCCCTATATGAATAATCTATATAATGCATGCATACATTTATATGTATAACTTTTTTTTTATATGATTATATTTTTATTTGTTAATTAGGTCATGAAGTAAACATTTTATCCAAATAAGCTAAGCATGTGTATACACACTTAGCTTATTTGGATAAAGTGTTTACTTCATTCACAGAATGTCAGTGATTTGAATCCCACCACTTCCCAATTTTTTTGGGTTTTTTAATCTCTTTCTCCTTTTTGGTCTACTATTTTATTCGTGAAATAAATGTAGCAAATTATTAATAATTATTATTTATAATTGCATAGCAATTATTAATAATTATTAATTATAATTGTTTACATATATTTCACCAAAAATATAGTTGGTCAAAAGGGAGGGGAGGTAGAACTAAGTACAAGTATATATTATTCTTAAATGAATACGTCATATGAATGTTATGTATGCCAAGCCTTACCAGGAAATGCCTTATCTTTTTATTTCAGTAAACCTCTGAGTAACAAGCATCTACATATATAGATAGTTTTAAAGCTTTAATTAGGGCATCTACACATTTTACACAGCCTTAATTGTTTCATATTACCTTTCTATTTCTGTACATTTTTTATTCCAAATCTTTTAACGCTTTTAATTTTGAATACCTGTTGTTTTTTAACATTCGGCTCGGTGAACTTTGTTCTACCTGCTCCCTCTCTTTTGATCAACTATGCTTTTGTAGAAATATATGTAAACAATTATAATTAGTTATTATTAATAATTGTTATGCAATTATAAATAATAATTATAAATAATTGTTTACATATATTTCATGAATAACATAGTAGACCAAAAGAGGGAGCATTTAAAAAAACCCTTCAAAAAAATTTGGGAATTGGTGGGATTCGAACCACATTCTGCGAATGAAGAAAACGCTTTACCCAAACAAGCTAAGCATGCTTTTACTAATGCAGACTTGGACAGGAACGGCATGAGATCAAATGCTGTAACTGACCATGCTTTTAATTTTTTTTTTTTTACAACTTGACCACGGATGTTTTAATGTTTTAACAATTTAAATGCAATAAAAAAATCGTTACGTTATGATTAACTTTTTATTGTTTGAACTTTTTAAAGGTTTTTATTTTATGGGAAGACTTTAAACAAAATAAAAAATTAAATAAACGCATTTTGAGTAAATTAAATATTTAAGATTTTTTTAGTAGGCATGTATTTTTTTATGATAAATTTAAACATTTGAAACTATTTTTCCACATCTTTCTAAAAATATTTCAAAAGATTATTTTTTTTAAAGCTACTTTAAATTATGAATAAGTTAAATTAAAACCTTCCCGTTGCAATGGAATGATTTAACTGCTTTATTAATTTTTTTTTGTTTCTATTTTTACAATGCATTGTTTAAAAGCTTTTTTTTTAACCTGACTTTTAAAAATTAAAAATCATGTGCGTGGTCAGCAAAAACATTCAATTGCATGCCATTCCTGTCCAAGCCTGCTAACGAACAAATAAAAATATAATCTAATAATAAAAAAAAGTTATACATAAAAATGTACGCATGCCTTACATAGATGCATTCATATAGGGACAATATATACTTGTTACATTAAAATTATACAAATATATTTTACAAACTTATATATATATATTAGCAATTTATAATTTTGCTTTACTTATTAAATATAGGAAATTCTTTTTAATGTTGACTTAAAACTGTTTTTTTTTTTTTTGCTTTGCCTTTTCTAATTACATTGCTGAAAATAACAGCCACCCTTAGCAAACAGAAATTAAAACAGTACACAAATTATTTAAATTATCAATTTTTAAAACTTTTTTAATTTAAATTTATTTAAATTTCTTATTTTGTTAGTTTAGCTTAGTTGTTTTTTTCCGCAACGCTTAATATAATAAAACTTGCAAACGACCGTAAACAAGTTGTCAAAAATAAAATACTCAAGCATAGACATACAAGACAAAACATTGCAGGCATTTCCTGAGAAGGCTAGTATTGTGTATTTACCTTTTTGTATCTTTTGCATAAAAATTAAAAATATTCATTAAAAATGAAACAACTGTCTATATATTAAAACTTTTCTATAGTTACTATTATTAGATATGTGCATTTAAAACACTTAAATACAAATTAATATAAAAAATGATGTTACCATATTGTGAAATTTTAGTTGTATAGAGTGTAGACTTGACTGCTACTTCATCTGTTTGTGTTTGAGAAGCAAGTTTGGCTTTCTCTAGCTTCTCAATATTTACTTTTATTTCTGATAATTTGTTATGAAGAAAATCTTTGACATTTGGGCGAGTGGCTGTTTGCATTAACAATTCAAACTCTTGCAAATCTGCACTCAAATTCTAGAAAATAAATATTTCAGTTTTGTGTCTGTTTATTATATACATACATTCATATAAATATATAACATAAAAATAAATGATCTGCTGTATATTTAATAATATAATTTTATTGTTTAACTTCATTTGTGATGAAAAACTCAAAAACACAATGTTTCATGTTTTTTTTGATTTTTCTTTTTTATGTCTACATTAATAATATACACTAATAATATTTTTTTACTACACTAATAATATTTCATTACTACACTAATAATATTTTTACCTGGGATATACTCTATATGAATTTTTATACAAACTTTTAGTAAATACAAAACTTTTATCACTTTTTGTTTGTAGACTTTCTTTAACTGTGATTTAATCATAAACGATCATTTATTAAAACTTTATAGAGAGTTAATAACTAATGACTCAGTGTTCAAAAGTTGATCACTCCTCTAACCTAAGTCATAAACATACTAACATCAGGGATGTTAATATGTTTGTCTATTTGCTGGAACCTGTTTCTAAATTTAGTTCTGACAACTGTTGTGATAAAAACATTTTTAAAAGTTCTTTTAAATGGTTACTTCTTGATTAACTCCTTGACTAATTCTTTATTATTTCTTGGTTAATAAGTATTATAAGTAGCTAATTTGATCAATAACATTTATTCTTAATTAAGTTAAAAAATATTTATTGAACTATATCTAATTTCAATTAATGGTGGGGAAATTTATCTTATCTAACAACTTTTGAAATAAAATTGATCAACATTAAATCATCTGGCTTGAGCTTTATTTTATTAAATCTGACCCTGATGGTCAAAATCTAGCAAATTTAATAATGAAAATAGACAGCAGTATTATCATTACGCAGACCTTATAATGTAGTAAAACATATATGAATACAGAAATGACAGGTTTTAACATGTAACTTTGTTTCTGTGAGCAACTGAAAGCATTTAAAACTTACGTTTTTGCTGTATAAAACAAAACTTAACAATATATAGTAGACTTCTGTTAACTTAGATCCACTATGGGAATAGATATATCATCCGATTTAGTAAATGTTCCAATTAAGCAAAACTCTTGGTACATAAGACTTATTTTAAAAACCTTTATAATATTGTAAGAGTGCATATGTTATTTATGCACTGTTAATATAATATCATGGTTAATATTAGGTTAAAATCCAGTCACCCTTTGAGTAACTAAAATGTTGTGAAATGTGCTTATGTTTAATACAGTATTCTAATAGGAGTTCCTAAAATTCTTTTAAAATGAAAAGGTTTTATGTTACCATATGGAACAATGTCTATTAAACAGCGGTGTACCCTCCAGCTTTTTCCCAGTAGCCCGCAAGGGCAACTGAAACAGTTTTTATATTGTATTTGAGTCGTCTGCTTTTTATATTGTATTTGAGTAGTCCAGTGTTTTTTGTATTTTTTTTCGGATGAAAATAATGAAGAAAAGAAATTTAAACATTTGCTTTTATCTGTAGATATGTGACCTGGAGTTCATATATTATTTTGCTTCAGGGTTATTTTTAAACTTTGCATTATTTTTCATAACAATGCTTACATTTTATTTGAAATGATTAGTTGTTGAACTCTGTTTCTCTGACAAGAACACTTATCTTCTTTCATGTCGGACATTTCTCATTACTAATGAAATCATCATACTTCAGGTATTCAATCAATTTTGTAAATGCATTTTGATTTTTATGTTTAAATGTTTTTTTATGCTTCTTGATTTCCATTAATAACTTCCTTTAAACCTTCAAAGCTTTATGAAACATACTAATTTTATTTCTAATAATCTAGATTTCTAATAATCTAGAAGTCCATCAAATATAAACTTTGATATTTTCTTCTAAATCCGTAACCATTTAGGTTGAAGTTTTACTATAGATAGAAATATAATAAATGTATACTGAACTAATCTTAAGTTTATACATATAATACATGTATACTAGACTAATCTCTATTTACTATCCATAAACATATAATACACATATACTGAACTAAAATTAAATTTTACTATTCATTTACATATAATACACGCATACTAAATGTTTATTTTTATTAAAAATTAATATTACTTCAGAAATTAGTTACTTCTAAAGCCTACTGTATAAAACATATCTGCATCCAAAGTACATTTAATTATGTTAAATTATGTTATTAAACAAAAAATAAAAAATTCTATCAAAAAAAAAAAAGACATAGTGAAACTAATAGAAAAAGTTATCTGCATGTGAATAAGAATGCAAGTATGATAGCAAATACAAAAATAGAAAAAATAAATAATTAAACTTACTTCAATTAAGCTATCTGATGTCATGTTTGTGATTTGTAATTTTATTTTGATTTTAGCTTTAAAAAAAAAGATTAAATTTTAAAATTAAAAATTAAAAGTTAAATTATTTACTAAAATTATTTACACTGCCTGCTTGGTAGTTAACCTAGCTGCATCAAAATAAATGTAAAGCACAGCAACATATTAAAATCAACTTCAAGCTCTTGTTTATGGCAACCTGATACTGAAATTTAATCAGAAATATATTGATTTTTATCAAGTCCATGTTTTCTACTAGACTAGGCTATTTTACCACTGTTACTTTATACAAAATATGGCTTTACAGGACAGAAAAGTAAGCTTATTTAAAAAAAACACAAACTGCATGTTTTGGAAAAACTGTTTTAAGAAACTGATTGTAACAAATCCAATGTTCTAACTACTACCTCAAGGCTTCACAAAGTTTTTAAGGCTTTTAAGTTTTAAAAGTTTTTGTACACCAAGTACAGAAAATTTTGTACACCAAGTATACTATTTTTGATTGACTTATCAATGTTGAAATATTTTTTAAAAAAATTAAAAATTTTATTAGATTTTATAAAAAATATTATCACTAACAGGGTTCCCACCAAATAAATGAATTTAAAATCCAGGACTTTCTAGGATTTTCCATTATAAATTTGGTAATTTTCCAGAGCATTTGCTTCATTATTCCAGGACTTACAAAAAAAAAAAAAAAAAAAAATTCCAGGACTTAATTTCTTTAAGGGAATCCCAAACCTCCGAGACATGTTGTGTTCATATTGAAGAGAATGATTAAAAAAAACAACTTTGGGGGCTAAATTTTTATTGAATAAAACAAAAGATTAAATGCACACCAATAAAAAACAATTTTTTTTATTTTAGTAGAAGCTCACCATTCCATTTTTTTATAGGCCAAAAAGTCAGAATATTATATGCCACAATCTATAGACTTGATTTATTCCAGACGGATTCTATTTCTAAGAGTTTCAGTATATGATATCATTGATTTTTTTGTTTGTGTCATAGATCGATTATGTAAACAAACAAAAAAAATCAATGACGCCATGGAAAATGTGAACTATATAACAAGATAAATAAAAATTAAAAATTATAGGTCAAAATGCTTTTCATTTACAAAACTTCTGATGCCCAGGAATTTCAATATTTTTAATAATTCAAATAAAACAAAATCAAAACAAATTCAAACAAATTAACTTAACTATTTCATGTGAAAAAAAAAAATGCCTTTAAAATTAAACAGCTAATTCAAAATTGTTGTGCCATATTTTCTATTTGGCACAACTCCTAAATCTCTTTTTGTTTAGTTTGATCAAAGCTTCTGCTTGTTGTTAGACCTTTTCAAAAAATTTCTCATCCTCTTAAACTAGTTACTAATTCATACTGTTACACTTTTTTTTCACACGTCTTTATGAGATAGCAAACACTCTGTATACCAATTACTTACTCTTTTTACATGGTGCAGCATCTCTTTAATCAAATAAGGAAGACAAATAATCTTCAATATTAGGTTATGCAATGAGAGATTTTGTTTTAGATTTTCTACAAGAAGTTTACAATTAATGCTAAAATCACACTGATTGCCCATATAAAAGCACAAAAACTATTTTCAAAACAGTCATTTTGATAAACTTAATTTACCCCTATAAAACCAGAGAATTTATCAAAAGCATCACCTTTAGTGTCATAACCTTGAAATAAATTTTAATTTAGAGTCAAATATTTCTAAAACTTTTGATACTGATTTTTTGTTTGTTTGGCAAACTTTGGTGACAATCATATATAACAAATTTTTGCAATAGAGTTGAAAATTATTAATACAAGTATTTTTTCATTCGGATTCAAAATAAAAATTGGGTTAATGGATACTGCAGTGCTTATTATGACAAACAGGGTAGGAAACCTGCTCCGGATAATGCGTTAACAGAGCAACTAAAAAGTCTTCTGCTTCTTTTTTGAATTTAACTACCCTTTGCTCAGTGTAACTTGAATTAACTTGATCGATTATTAGCTTATCAGCAAAACCAATATCAATTTGATTAGGAGGGTTTTTTAATGTTATTATTAACAACTTATTTGAAGCTACATTTGTTCAAAACATCCTTTAGTATGATCGCCTGAGAAAGGCAAATACAGCCATAAATAGAATTATTGATTTGTCTGCTTTGATCCTCAAGAAACCATTCAACAACAAAATTTTGGTTTGAATAGCAAAACAGGGTTGTTAACTATGGTTTTTAGTCTCAACACACACACACACACACACATTTTCCAAATCCAGTTGTTAGCTTTTTTAAAAAACTACTAAAACATGTTATAAACTTTTGGCATCATTCAAAAAGTGATTAAGTTCTTTAAGCATAACTTTCATTTTCACACCACTCAATCATTTAACTTGAAAAAGGAGTAAGTCAAAATGAATAATAAAAAAAAAAAAAAAAAAGGTCCTCTAAAATTTTTGGGGGCCCCTAAATTTGCAGAGCCTGGGGCTAAAGCCCCCCCCTTGATCTGGCACTGATAGGTCTACATTGCTAAACTATTTTCCACCTTAGTAGGAAACAATTTAGCAATGTCACTATCTGGAAACATTTTACTAAACAATTTTCCAGAATCAGTTAAAGAATTTATTGAATATTTAAAATACACTAATATTTAAGAGTGATGCTAAGGCAGCTACTCCCATAATAGTAACTTAATATAATAACTGAAAGTCACATCAATGTCTGTTTTTTGGAATCGATGCTTAACTTTTATTATATGTAAAGTAAATAAAATAAGCAAGCAGTATTTTAAAAATGTATCAACCACAGCAACGATAATAACCTGATTGAATCAAAAATTGTATAACAAGAAATACAAAGCTATAACATGATATAACAAACATATAACTAATTACTAACTTAAAAAAATAGTGTAAAAAAGGTAGAAGATACTTGAAAAAAACAATAATAAATTGACAAATATGCAAATTCTAAAGACTTTTCCAGGATTTTACAAAAAAATCCAGGATTTTCAAAACTTTCCAAGACTACTTTTATATTTAAGAATATTTCAGGAATGGTAGAAACCCTGATTAACTTAGTTATTTTGTTTTCAATTTAAGACTGCACCTGCTGATCGCCTGACTGATTCATCGACTGAGAAGTACTAATTTGCGTTAAGCTCTTGTTGAAATTAATCCAAAACTTGATACATTTAAACATTTAAAATGCATTTTAATGGTTTTTGTAAATACTTCTATTATGCATCTTTTCACTTGATTTCTGTTCATGAAAATGTAGGCTACATTTTAAGCGCTACAATGCTAATACACCTCACAGTTTGCATTTTAGTTAGGTTTTTTTAAAAGAATATTTTAGTTTCTCCTCCTTTATCACTGTTGGAATATACATTATGAGTCTTATAGACAACAGGTATTTTTTTAGTCCAGCAGTGAAAATAACATCGATTCTATTAGTAGTAAAGATTGATAAAATTTTAAAATTAAAAGTGTAAAAACTGCTTTGCATTAAGTACCGCAACTATTTACAAAATATATTGCAAAAAAGTTACCCAACTTTCCATAAAATTTTCCATTTATAAACACATTTTTTTACCTTACCAGAATATCAATCTTACCTTATCAGAATATCAATAAAAAACAATTTATTTAAAAAAATACTTATGTTAAAAATAATTTTGAGAATATCCCGGAGCTTTCTAGAACATTTAATTAACTTAATAAGCACATGTCCAATAGGGTGTCCTTAAACTTTAGCGTATTTTACCGCGCAGAATACTGCATTTTGTTCATAAAAACAAAGTAAAATACCTATCACCATAAGAAATAAAACCGCCGTAAAATAAAAATAAAAGAATTAGCAAGAATAAAAATCCTGAAAGAATATATAAATAAACTTGTTGTAATGAAATTTAACTTGATACTTTTACATATAATCACAAAAAATACTTTTAAAAAGATAATAATTTCACAAATAGGGTAAAGCGGCCTAAATCTGGCCGCGTCCTTATTCTGGCCGATTTTCAAAAGCACTAAAATATTTGATGGAGGATGGAATTGGTCTGTTTTAAATAAAAAAATATATTAATTTAACCTTGTAATTTTGAAATATGTACTTAAAATTCTTATATCAACTTGCTAATACTTCAGTATCATTTTAAAAGCGTTTCATAAGTTTTATGTTTCCGTAAGCTCGATGTTTGCAATTTTCAAACTTGTAATGATTACATTCAAATGTAATGCGTTTGTAAATCGCTTGAACTGAAAGTAATATTGGCATATAATTTTGTTAAAACTGTATATGTATTTATGCGTATTTTGTATATTGTTAAATAATTCTTTTTTATTTGAAAATTTATATGTACAATATTAAAGTATAATTTTTAGCGATTGTCCTATATCTGGCCAATGATTAGTCTCAATTCTGGCCATATATATGTACAATAACTTTATATAATTTTTATTTAATTTATATATATATATATATATATATATATATATATATATATATATATATATATGTATATAATATATATGTGTATATATATATCATATATATGGTATGTTACATGAAATCATTTCATGTAACATATATATTACATATATATATATATATATATATATATATATATATATATATATATATATATATATATATATATATATATATATATATATATATATATGTATATATATTTATATATATGTATTTATATATTATATATACATATATTATATTATAATATATGTATATATATAATATATAAATACATATATATAAATATATATATATATATATATATATATATATATATATATATATATATATATATATATGTATACATATATGTATATAATATATATGTTACATGAAATGATTTCATGTAACATACCATATATATGATATATATATACACATATATATTATATATATATATATATATATATATATATATATATACATATATATATATATATATATATATATATATATATATATATATATATATATATATATATATATATATATATATATATATATATATATATATATATATTAATGAAATATGATA